TAATCAGTGGACCAGTTCAATGCCTCTTGAAGTATTGGCTCCTCCATCACCGGAGGTTTTCAAGAAGAGACTGGACAACCATTTGCCTGGAGTTGTATAAGGTCTCCTGTTTGAGCAGGGAGTTGAACTAGATGATCTCCAACCCTTTGATTCCATGTTCTATAATCTATTGATGATTTTTTTTTCTAGCCTACAGTATTTCTTTATCCCTCTAATGGCACACTGGCTGCTAACATTTCCCAAATTAATAGAGCCTAAAAGAAAAATGCCCTATTGATGTCTTGCTTGGGGACAGAAGGAAGCCAACAAAGCATCAGAGCACTGGAAATTCTGTGATGAAAGATGGAAAATTCATACCTTTGGTCACCTTGTCATCAAATTAATGCAAGCTCTTCACCCAGAAACTTTTCTCTAATATTCTCTGTTCTTTGGTCTCTAATATTCTCTGTTCTTTGTAGAACATTTTGACAGCAAATTCTCTTTTCCCAAACTGAACAAGAACTGAGTGGCGTAGGAGGCTAATGCTTCCTACTAAGGCAGCATTTAACATCCAGCTGCCTGCAATTACTGCAAGTTCAATTCTCGCCAGGCTCAAGGTTGACTCAGCCTTCCATCTTTTCTAAAGTGGGTAAAATGAGGACCCGGTTTGTGGGGGCAATAAGCTGACTTTCTATAAAATATACAAAAGTATGAAGGTTATTCCTTAACGCATTGTAAGCCGCCCTGAGTCTCCGGAGAAGGGCGGCATATATTCCATTCCGTTCCGTTCCATTCCATTCCATTCCATTTCACTCTACTCTACTCTACTCTACTCTACTCTATTAACATTTTAACTTATGTGGTACACCTACTGCAAGTGACTCAGAGTCTTTCTGGAAGCGAGACAGCCTCAGATCAAATCAAACCAATCAATTTACAATACACAATTTGGGGTTTATGCTAGACTTGCACCGGAAAGCTTGAATTTAATTTCAATTTAGCCACAACTCTCACTGGATGACTTTAGGTTTTCTTTCACAATAATGTGCAATAGACTCCTTGAGTCTGTTGAGAGTAGTATAAGGTATTTAAGAAGTCCAAAAACACAGAATTATGGTCGCTATTGAGTACACTGTTATCTTTATGTATGTAAATCAGTATATGAACGATATGTATAAATGGCAAATTGAAATATGGGAGAAAAATGGATACGTAAGAAATGTTTACTGATGCGAAATTGTTGAAAAGAAGAAAATTGTAAAAAATTCTTTTAAAAAAAATAAATAAAAAAACCTGTTTAATAAAAATTATTATTAAAAAAAAAAGAAGAGATTAAGATAAGATAAAGACATATGGAAAAAGAATATTATGGCCGAAATTGGAAATATGTAAAATGTACTTGTGGTGTGGTGGTGGAAAGAGAGGAAAATAACAAGATAAGGTGAAAAATGATGGATTTGTGATAAAGAATTATATAAAAGGGATAAATTTGGAAAAAGCGGGAAGATTGGAATAGATTATAAAAATTAAGATATATAAGATATATAAGATGTGAACCGGTCACCACTTTGTTCATAAAATATGGATGATGAAAGAAAAATTGTAATAAAACTTGTTTACAAAAAATAAATAAATAAATAAATAAAAGTCAAAAAACAGTTAACCAGGCAGAATCAACCTGGATGGTAGGAACGATCAACAGTTGCCTTCACTGTGAGAATGCTTTTATTTCTTTTGTTTTGCACAAATAGTATTCCTACGTTTTCTTGTAAATAAAAACAAAATAACTTGGGATTTCTGACATTCAGAGTTGGGTTAAAGCAATCCTGAAGCATTCATCCACAGTTGACCAGGACCTTTGGTGGCCCTATCTCGTTCATGGGATATTTTCTTTGAAGCGTGTCCCTATTGTGGGACCAAGGTTCATTATCCAGAAGGAAGAGGAAAGGCTGGAATATATATTTTTGCTCCTCTTTTCTATCCTTGGCCTCTCTTACTCTATTTGAAATCAGTTGTCAGTGACCCATTTTGACAACTTTGCTTTGCTGGCTGGGGATGAACAGCCTCAAAGAAATAATAAAATAGTAAAAAACCCAAACCAGAACATCATCTTTGACAGCAAAATCTAGGAATCAATGGTGAAATGTAAAATTTGTTACTACCGGTTCTGTGGGCGTGGCTTGGTGGGGGGTGGGGTAATGTGACTGGGTGGGCGTGGCCAACTTTTTTTTTTTTTTACTTTTAAAAGCATTTTTTCTACAACCTCTTTGGCTGAAGAGGTTGCAGAAAAAAATGCTTTCAAAAGTCTCTGACGGTCAGGCAACTCAGCTGGGATCGTCAGAGGCTTTTAAAGGCATTTTTTTTTCCTACAATCTCTTCAGCCGAAGAGGTTGTAAAAAAAATGCTTTTAAAAGGCTCTGATGATCCCAGCTGAGCCACACGATCATCAGAGGCTTTTTTTTTTTTTTACTTTTAAAAGCATTTTTTCGGCCAAAGGAAAAATGTTTTTAAAAGTAAAAAAAAAAACGTCTGATGATCACGCAGCCCTCATCCGGGCCTTCCCCAGACTCTAGGACTGGTCCATGGTCCTCCCCAGCCTCCTCACTGTGCGACTCTGCTGCTAGCTCCGCGGGCTGCTGGTGGACCACAACCCTTATAAAAAAGGCATTTTAACTGGAACATCTTATCAATTTCATAATGACTGTGTCTTTTCCAGAAATAGCATAAACCAGGGGTCTGCAACCTTAAATACTCAAAGAGCCATTTGGATCCATTTCCCACAGAAAAGAAAACACTGGGAGCCACAAAACCTGGGTGGGCGTGGCCAACTCGATGTCACTCACTTCCACCAGTCACATGACCACCACCCCAGCCACACCTACCCAGCTGGTCATTAGGGCAGAAAACCAGTTGTTAAAAAACACCAGGAACCACAAAATCCTTTTGACTTCTCTCTCTCTCTCTCTCCCCCTCCCTCCCTCCCTCTCTCCCCCTCCCTCCCTCTCTCCCTCTCTCTCTGTATCTCCAAGTCTCTGCCCTGGCTGCTTCTCCATCCCCCACCATCGCTCTTACCTTCTCAGGCCAGGCGAGGAGTGACTGGGAGGGAAGGGCGAGGCATGGGGCCAGCCAGTGATGGGATCACCTGACAGGGAGCCACAGCAGAGGGCCCAAAGAGCTGCATGCAGCTCCGGAGCTGCAGGTTGCTGACCCCTGGCATAAACGAACCTCACAACGATCGGTGATGTTTTTATTTATCTTCTTCCTTCATTTTCCAGTTGTTAAATTTGGAGCATTAAACACACACGCTCTGATGTTAAATTAGGCTTGGAAAAATAGCCAACTGTTTGTTTTTTTTTCCCCCCCGAACCAGCAGAGAGTTCCAAGTGTAAACATATGTTTCGCAGATTGGGGAAATAAAGACCCAGTGTACAATCAGATGGCAACAGATGTGGGCCACAAAATCATTATTGAGCCCAAAAAAGCATGGAGGAAGATACAAATGCTCAATTTAAATAAGAGCTTATATGTAATTATAGTTAAGTTCATACTTAATTATAGTTCAACCACATCAAAACAAACACTGGGGGCCTTGAAATTCTGCCTGTGGCACACTGTTGCTTAATCTTCCCTCACTGATGCTTAGGTTTCCTAGGCTAAATTTTAACCCCTTGAAATAAATCTAACCCACTTTCCCACCCCAGCTCAGAGGCAGACATTTACAGTGGGAAACAACATCTACCATACCATTCAAAAGAGACCATTGAAAAGCCCAAAAAGAAACAGAAGGACCAACCAGATGTCTCCTCATCAGACATCAACACCCAGATAAATTGAGAGTAACACCAAAATTAATACTAGACCAACAATCAAGAAGTAAACAATAACCCCAATTCAGGAACGATCAACTCAGACAAATCACGTGAAGTGTTAATACCACTTTAGAATGCCTTGGTAAGGCCACACTTGGAAAACAGCATCCAGTTTTGATCGCCCCGATGTAAAAAAGATGTGGAGACTCTAGAAAGAGTGCAGAGAAGAGCAACAAAGATGATTAGGGGACTGGAGGCTAAAACATATGAAGAACGGTTGCAGGAATTGGGTATGTCTAATTCAAGGAAAAGAAGGACGAGGGGAGACATGATAGCAGTGTTCCAATATTTCAGGGGCTTCCACAAAGAAGGGAGTCAAGCTATTCTCCAAAGCATCTGAAGGCAGGACAAGAAGCAATGGGTGGAAACTAAACAAGGGGAGAAGCAATTTAGAATTTAGGAGAAATTTCCTGATGGTTAGAACACTTAACCAGGGGAACAACTTGCCCCCAGAAGTTGTAAATGCTCCAACACTGAAAGTCTTTAAGAAGATGTTGGATAACCATTTGTCTGAAGTGGTATAGGGTTTCCTGCCTAAGCAGGGGGTTGGACTAGAAGACCTCCAAGGTCCCTTCCAACTCTCTTATTCTATTCTATTCTATTCTATTCTATTCTATTCTATTCTATTCTATTCTAATAATCAAACCATAAACAACAACTTAAACAAGGAACTATCATAACATTCCCACCAACATTGACGAGACCACTAAAAGCTAGTATAAGAACAAATCTACTGACTCTGATAATATCACCTAGTTTGGTAATGAAACATCTGCAAGAAAACCAGCAAGCTCAGAGAGCACCACAATACAAAATCTAAAATAATGTACCCAACAACAATACACACACATGATTGGTGCAGCTATCTTCCTTCTTTCAACGCAGGGCTATCTAATTCCATTCTCCCAATGAGAAAGAATCCAGGATACAGAAAGTAAAATTGGCAGGAAAAAAAAAAAGCAATCGTCTCTAAAATAGGACTCTACTCCTGCTGGATTTGTTTTGTTTTATGACCAGCGTACGGCTCTTAATACACGTATCTCATTTCATTAATTACATAAATCATTTTCAGGGTTTCAATCAAAACATAGAAGAAACATCCATTCTACAAACAAATAGCCGGTCATGAAAGAAGCAAAATAAAATTGGTACCTTGAAATCCCGTCAGAATAGACTCTGCTGAGAAATCGATCTCTGGAGGGAACTGAGTCCATGACTCTCTGTGTTGGTCTCACCTAGACGAGAGAGTAAATAATCATGGTTAAATAATCGGCGTAAATAATCGTGGTTGGTCTCACCTAGAAGAAAGAGTAAATAAACATGGTTATGTATATTTAGGAACATTGAAATAATCTGTCTGTTAGGAATAAATTGTGCTTGAACTTACAGAGTGGACCTACTTGGACGTTTATTTTCTAGATAGGATAAATATCAGAATAACAAGGTCCCTTCCCCTGTTGGAAAGGACCTTAGAGGTCTTCTACTCCAACCCCCAGGAAAACCTATACCATTTCAGACAAATGGTTGTCCAATCTCTCTTTAAAAACCTCCAGTGATTTTGGAGGCAGGCCATTCCACCGATTATGGTAATTGTTCCTTAGTTCTGGGTTGGTTCTCTCCTTGATTAGTTTTCACCCATTGTTTCTTGTCCTGCCTTCACGTGCTTTGGAAAATAGATTGATGCCCCCCCTTCTTTCTGGCAGCCCCTCAAATATTGGAACACCACTACGTCACCCCTAGTCCTTTCTTTCACTAGAATAGACATAAGGTAAAGGTAAAGGTTCCCCTCACACAGATGTGCTAGTTGTTCCTGACTCTAGGGGGCGGTGCTCATCTCCGTTTCAAAGCCGAAGAGCTAGCGCTGTCCGAAGATGTCTCCGTGGTCATATGGCTGGCATGACTCAATGCCAAAGGTGCACAGAACGTTGTTCCCTTCCCACCAAAGGTGGTCCCTATTTTTCTACTTGCATTTTTTACGTGCTTTCAAACTGCTAGGTTGGCAGAAGCTGGGACAAGGAATGGGAGCTCACCCCATGAAGGTACTAGGGATTCAAACCGCTGAACTGCCGACCTTTCAATCGGCAAGCTCAGTGTCTTAGCCACTGAGCCATCACGTCCCTTAGAATAGACATACCCAACTGTTATTTGTAAATTTTCACCTCCAGCCCCCTAAAGGGCCAAATTAAAGACCATCAGACAGGAACAGAAGTTGCTATGTGTCCCATAATGGAGACTTTTGTTCTGTTATGGTCATAGAAATCTTATCTGCACAATGCCCTTTATTAGCTCAGTTCCTGGATGAATATATTAATTAATCAACTTTTGGATTTCTACACGACTATATGAAAAAAGAGAGAAGAAAGGAGGGCCTGTGGAAGGAGAAGTGCTGCTCTGAATTCAAGCCAACCCTAATATCCCCCACAGCTGCCAATACTGTCAAAAATAGGGGAAGAGATTCACAGACCACAGAATGGCAGATCTTTTCAGCCCAAAGGGCGGCTAATTCTACCTTATTCAAATTGTTTTTGGAAATATGTGGGTATGTGTGCGTGTAGCTATTTATCTAACTGTAGACAGGAAGAAAACAAAACAAAACAAAACAAAAGAAAAGAAAAGAAAAGAAAAGGGGGGAAGGGGAGAGGAGAGGAGAGGAGAGGAAAGGAGAGGAAAGGAAAGGAAGAGGGAGAGGGAGAGGGAGAGGGAGAGGGAAAGGAAGGGAAAGGAAAGGAAAGGAAAGGAAAGGAAAGGAAAGGAAAGGGGAAAGGAGAGGAGAGGAAAGGGAGAAGGAGAGGGAAAGGAAGGGAAAGGAAAGGAAAGGAAGGGAAGGGAAGGGAAGGGAAAGGAAAGAAAAAGAAAGGAAAGGAAAGGAAAGGAAAGGAAAGGAAAGGAAAGGAGAGGAGAGGAGAGGAAAGGGAGAAGGAGAGGGAAAGGAAGGGAAAGGAAAGGAAGGGAAGGGAAGGGAAGGGAAGGGAAAGGGAAAGGAAAGGAAAGGAAAGGAAAGGAAAGGAAAGGAAAGGAAAGGAAAGGAAAGGGAAAGGAAAGGAAAGGGAAGGGAAGGGAAAGGGAAGGGAAAGGAAAGGAAAGGAAAGGAAAAAGAGAGGAGAGGAGAGGAGAGGAGAGGAGAGGAGAGGAAAGGGAGAAGGAGAGGGAAAGGAAAGGAAAGGAAGGAAAGGAAAGGAAAGGAAAGGAAAGGAAAGGAAAGGAAAGGAAAACCTTGGTCCTAACAGCTTTGGACAGCATACTTTTTATCATCTTGTTTAAGTACATGTGTATCGAGGTGTGGATGGGAGCAAAGGAAAAGAAGAACAGGAACTTAGCCTGGTACATTTAGGAATAAATGAGCCATAATCGTCTTCTCCACCCCTTCCTTATGTTATTCCTTGCATTGGTTTATTGATTACAGAGAGTTTACCTTTGGAAGGTGACTTTTTTTCTAGTTTTGTAATCCCATTTTCAAATTGCAACACCCAGGGAAGACATTGGAGCAACCGAGGAAATTAAAAACATTTGTCCAATCAAAAATGGGCTTCATCATTAGCACAAATGCGTAAGAAGTCAACAAGAACAGAACCTCCGGCATGTAAATACGGATGCTTTAATCTTATTTCTATTAAAAAAAAACAAAAAAAAAAACCTTTCCAGTCCAGCCTACAATCCAAGCGATCTCTTGTCATGGTACACACTAACTAAATCAGGCTTCCTTTATACTTTCTGAGAGCAGCCAAGTTTCACAAGTGCTTCCACTTATTGGGGGCAAATCAGGGGTGAAATGCTCCTGGTTCGGACCGGATCGCTAGATCCGGTAGTGATGGCGGCGGGAAGAATCGGAGAACCGGTAGCAAAAACCCCTGCTCCCCGCTCGCCGCCATGCCCAGCTGAGCTGCGTGATCATCAGAGGCTTTTTTTTTTTACTTTTAAAAGCATTTTTTCTACCACCTCTTCAGCTTGTAAAAAAAATGCTTTTAAAAGGCTCTGACGATCCCAGCTGAGTTGCCTGATCGTCAGAGGTTGGTTTTTTTTTTTTTTTTGCTTTTAAAGGAGAAGGGTGGCATATAAATCGAACCAATAAATAAATAAATGAATAAATAAAATAAATAAATAGTTCAAAGGCCTCAATTCTTTGGCGCTCAGCCTTTCTTATGGGCCAGCTTTCACAACCATCCATTGCAACTGGGAAAACTATAGCCTTGACTATATGCACTTTACTATACGCAGGGAATATAAATCCTTCCATTCCCCACCATCCAGTCAGAGCTGAAGAAGTTTCTTTTGGATGAGAAGCAAAGAAGAAAAAACAAGGAAGTCCAGTTGCCTCCTGTAAAAGCACCTTTGAGACAAGCATGACCTGGATGACTGAGAATCTCTAGGGCAGTGTTTCTCAACCTTGGTAGCTTGAAGATGGGTCGACTTCAACTCCCAGAATCCCCCAGCCAGCGCTGCTGGCTGGGGGATTCTGGGAGTTGAAGTCCACCCATCTTCAAGCTTCCAAGGTTGAGAAACATTGCTCTAGAGACTATCATCAAATGGGGCAGAAGTCTCTTAACAACTGTATCACTTGGCAATGGAAATTTTGGGCTTCAATGGGGTACTATTTGTATGCAATTCTACAGGTAGAGTTTCACCCGGAGCCATTATTCTCCCAGTTTTTCTCCATACTCTGCATATTTTGTTTGTCTGAAGAGAACCACAAGTTCAAACAACTTCCATTCATTTTATTTATTGCCGTGCTCAGTTTGTTTCCACATCAGCTTGATGGAAGCAGTTTTTTCAAAACGCATCTCAGATCCTTCATTTCATTTCCGGCCTATTTGGCATTCTACAATAAACAAAAATCTTATGAAAGTTGTGAATTCTGCTTAGGGAACCTGTCACGGAACAAAATTTGGCTTGGGCATTATGTTTTAGGTTGTAGCTTTTGTTTAAATAAATCACATACCGCAGGAACTTTCATATGCTTCTAGTGTTTTTCTTCCAAGGAAACTAATTCCTGACCAAAACTGGCAAACGTTCTCACAGTTTGCAAAGTGGGGTGGGGTGGGGGGTGGTACTGACATATAATAAAAGTCGATGGCATTTGCTGGAAAGTCTTGTTGGTGAATGATGGACGTTTCCTGTAACGTGGCAGCAGATGCCATATTAGGATAATCAACTGAAAGTGATTGACTTCTTGCCAGTACATCTGGAGACGTTTTTCCCCGTATATGTGTTAGAATAAAACATCACTAATGCAGGTAAGCAATACAGTCGACACAGGAGCTACACAATCAATCTGACACATAAATCTGCTCCCCAAAGAAAAAGCAAGAGAAAGAGTTCACCTTTCGAGTCAGAATTTTCTCAGAATAAGGCAAAATAACTAAAAGCCTCTCTCAGGTGGGAGAGAACATCTGAGAAACTAGAAACTATGGTAAAGGTAAAGGTAAAGGTTCCCCTCGCACATATGTGCTAGTCGTTCCCAATGCTAGGAAACTAGTAAATGACACTACTAAACTACTAAACTACTAAGACTCTAGGAAACGACTCTAGGGGGCGGTGCTCATTTCCATTTCAAAGCCGAAGAGCCAGCGTTGTCCGAAGACGTCTCCGTGGTCATGTGGCCGGCATGACTAAATGCCAAAGGCACACGGAACGCTGTTACCTTCCCACCAAAGTGGTCCCTACTTTTCTACTTGCATTTTTTACATGCTTTTGAACTGCTAGGTTGGCAGACGCTGGGACAAGTCACAGGAGCTCACCCTGTTACGCGGCACTAGGGATTCAAACCACTGAACTGCCGACCTTTCGATCGACAAGCTCAGCGTCTTAACCACTGAGCCACCGTGTCCCTTTACAAACTATGAAACAGCATTCATTTTGCATCCATTTTTTTCTATAAAAAGGAAAAAGGTAAAGGAGCCCCTGCGGATTTCATTCTGCTATCCGTTGCCAACTTTAGAGGGTGGTGGTCATCTCCTTTTCAAGGCCATTGAGCCTGCACTGTCCAAAGACATTTCTGTGCTCATGAGGCCAGTATGATGTCTCAAAGCCTGTTACTTTTTCACTGAAGTGGTACCTATTTATCTACTTGCATTTGCATGTTTTCAAATTGCTACGTTGGCAGGAGCTGAGGCTAGGACGGGAGTTCACCCAGTCACATGACACTTGGGTCTTGAACCCGGGCTGCCAGCTTTTCCAGTTGACAAGCCCAACGTCTTAACCACTGAACCAGACACAACTCAATTTTTTTTTATATACT